TCAATCACCTTCTTTCCTACCCCAGGGCTGTTTATGTTCTCTTTATTGGGAGAAAGAAGGAAGAAAAATGACTCTTCATTTGGTGTTTTCTGCACTGGAAGAGGGACGCTGCATATTTTAATAATAAAGTTGCTCCGTGGTTCATGAATCCCGCTATTCCAGCACTGAAATAGCATGAAATAGACCCTCCCTTTTATTGTGCAGAAAGAAAGTCATGTGACACCTTAAAAGCTGGCAAATTTTATTTTAACATGAGTTTTTGAGGACTAAGAGCCCATTTCTTCAGAGAGGAAGATTGTACAAATAGGGGTTAGTTTTGAGGAATTACTCCTTCTGCCAGAAAGATTAGCCTTTGGTTTGATTAAACAATGTTTGCTTGACATTGAACGTCAAGAGCTGATTAGTCGTGCTATAGCAGATGTTCCCCCTTGAGGGTAGGGATTCCTCCCCAAGGATCTATAGCAGAGTATTTCCTCAGTGTAACCGCCCCACATTTTCGAAGAGCCTTTACATTAGCCCATTTTAATGTGTTACCTTTGGCTGTACCGATTGGGAGGTATCGTAAAATCCCATACGATGACAGATCATGTGCTTGTGGTGTGAATGAAATACAACGTCTCGATCGTGTCCTTTTACATTGTTCTTATAACTGTGATCTTTGAGCCTTGTTTCTGGAGCCATTACTGAGAGATCATGGAAATCAAAATGATGAGTGGAAGATACTCTCTTCACTCTCCAACTGTTGTGTAGTGAATATGGAAATGGTGGCTAAATTTCTATACTTTGCTGTCAAGAGGGGAGCAGGTATTAATAATTGTCAATGATTATTGGTATTTTCTGCTGGTTTATGATGCTGTAATAAGCCATTAAAGGTTGTTTTTGTTGTTGTTGTTGTACAAGCCTGGAAGAAGCCCGGAGTTTGCCAGAATATATGATATATTCAAAATGGGGGTTAGGAAAACCCCCAAATCATAGAAGCAATGTCTGCTTCTTTAAGAAAAAGTGTGCCACTGAGATGTCGTGAGACTACGTTGTGAGATCTCAGTGGTCATTTGTGGAGCTGCTATCTACTTTTTATCATGCTGTTTAGGTTCGCCATCGCTTTCCTCCCAAGGAGCAGGCGTCTTTTAATTTCATGGCTGCAGTCACAGTCTGCGGTGATCTGGGATCCCAGGAACGTGAAGTCTGTCACTACTTCCACGACTTCCCCTGCTAGGCAACAGCCAATCAACATTGCCAAGGATCCCAACTGTCAGTTGGTGTCAGCTTGGAGGAGGGTGAAGAGAGACAGACTGAAAGGGTAAAAGATAGGAAGAAAGGAAGGGAAACCTTGAGGGCAGAGGAAGTAAAAACAGAAAGCTGAAGACAGGGTAGGGGAGCAGAAAATGGGGGGGGTTAATAAGTGAGTAAGGGGGTCAGAGGCTGCCAGGTAGGTGGGAGGAGGTCTTATGGTCTTATCAAAGGTTATTTGTTATAAGAGCAAAACATATCTTCCATGTGCACTTCTTAATAACTTTAGCTGGGGAACCAACTGTAGGTGAGGGCCGGTTGTCTTCATGAGCTGCTAGTGGTCTTTCTTGAGGCATCTGATAGGCTGCTATAGAAAGTGGGACGCTGGAGTAAATAGACGTTTGGTGTGATCTGGTAAGCCTCTTTTATTTTGGGGTTTTCCTTTGCCATCTCTATGCATTTTTCTTATCCTATCCTCACGATGGCCACAGTGTGAATACAAGATCTGTATAATATTTCCGCCAGTGGAACTCGCTGCTTTTCTAAATAAAAGGTCTACATCAGTGTATAGTATGAATTAGGTCTTATTGAGAACTTGAAGAAGTTGTCGTTTGCTCTCTAGAGTTGTTCCTGATTACATTCCTGTTCACTTGCAGGATGTCCAAGAGCCCAGGAGAAAAGAGGGTAAGCCAGACCTTTTGGAGGTAGTGGATCTCCCGTGGGCAGTGATACGCTCACCTGACCTCTGGAATGACAAATACATTACTGCAATGTGGAATTAAATTGCCTTGTTAGGGCTGCTATCACGGGTAGTTGTTTCAATGCAGTTGTGTTGAGTAGATCTTGTTTTCCACTCTTTGCTCTTCATTTAAAAAAAATCCATTTAATCTTTACTTGGTACTGTCAATGGCTTTTAAAGGTTAGAATCAATGAGTAAGACTTGCTTCAGGGTTAATACGGAAATAAATTTTTAGTTTATTTTTTTGCTTTTTAAAAAACATATTTGTCAGGAAAACTCACACATTATTCCCTTTTGCTGAAAAACTTTGCTTATTCGAAGACTCTTCTATTTGTACATCGTGCTTTGCCATCTGCTTGCAGAAGTGTTGTTTGTACCGGTGATGGACAGGTGCTATACTTAAATGCAGGCCCATAGCCAGAAATTTTTTACCGGAGGGGGGGGGGATGAGTACAGTGGTGGTAAGCACATAATTATTTACTTTCTTATGAATGAGCTACGATGTAGTGCAAAGGGATCATTCTATAAAGAAGGTTAAACAATAATCCGTTTTGTTTAAAACCAAATATCCCCTTCCTTTATTTACACATGATGAACAGTCTTGTAAATGCATGAAGATCCCCACCCCCATATTGTCCCACTTCCACTTTCCTGGATTGCAACTTGCAGTGTGCCAAATGGGGATCCCCCCCCACCAGTGTATCACCATACAAGTGTCTGTTTATTCCTCTGAGCTTGAAATGAGGCTTTGCTAACAGAGATCACAGAGGAAGGTGCATTTTTTGAGATGGATGGCCCCTTTGTTCAGAACACCCATCATCTTCCATTGAAATCACACACGCCCCAAAGCCCCACACTCTGCCAATGGCCCATCCAGTCCAACACTCTGTCACACAGTGGCACATAATTTGCTCTAAAGACTTAAGGATAGCTATAGGCACTCAGGCTGGAATGCAATAGGTTTTCCAACCTCCAGGTGGTGCCTGGAGATCTCCCAGAATTACAAGCGATCACTAGATTTGAGAGATCACTTCCCCTGGAGAAAATGGCTACTTCAGAGGGCAGACTGTGTGGTATTATACCCGATTAATCTCCCTCTTCCACCTTCCCCATCTCCCAAATCTCCAGGAATTTCCCAACATGGAGTTGGGAACCCTAGCGAGTATGTGCACACAGACTTTTCCTTCTCAGCTACAGCCTGCCTGGCATCCAGGGGAAGGGCAGCTTTTTTGCTTCACGCAGTTGGGAAGAGAAGCTGGGGAGGCTCCCCTCTACAGATGCAGGGGTTGACACCAATGCTCCCTCTGAGCTGTGGAGTCTTGTGAGCAACAATTCTGCCTTGTGAGCTACTGACATTAACGTTGTGAGTGAACAATTTGGCTACTGCATAAATTAGTTTGCTCTGGAGCCATCCTTCCTGAGCTTAGGCAAAAATCTGTGGGCTGGAGGCTAAAAAACTGGGAGCTAGCTCACACTAACTCAGCTTAGAGGGAACACTGGCTGACACCCCCCCTCCCCCACTGAGCCAGGTTAAAGGAGAAGGCAAAATTGTTGCCAGCACCAATTCATTGCCACCATTTTAACAGAGATTTTAAAATGCTGTGATGTGGGCTGTGGTGCAGAACTCTTTCCAAAAAAAGGGGGGTCGTTTGGATTGCTGTGCAAGGGGGGGGGGGGGAAACGTGCAGATCTGTCCTCGCAGAGGAGGGAGAGCTTGTACCTGAATAAAACTTGGTCTTAAAGGTGCCATGGGACTATTTTGAACCGCCCCCCGGGGGGGGGGGCTCTGCAACTTACCTGGCTGCTTCTTGCTCTGACTGAGGGCTGCTGGGAGCAGGGGGTGGGGCTTGTTGCATGTGCCCGCCCCCTGGGCTCTTTACTGCCGGAGCTCCGCTCCTGCAGGAAATGACCCCTGCCCCTACCCCAAGTGTTTTCATGGGCCAAAACAGCTGCATGGGCAACACGCACATGCTGTAAAATGGCACGTCCACTTGTGAAAGGGAAAATACAGAGGCGTCTGCCATCACCCACCCCCTCTGATTCCAACCACCTTTGAACACTCTCCACTCACGCTAAAATAGAGCAAAAAAAAAAAAAAAAGCTTCTACCTTGATGTGCTACTGTGCTGCAGATCAGAGGAATCCATGACTGGCACAAGTTAGCAAGCCAAGGTGGGGAAAGGGCTCTGTCACATGCTTCAGAGCACAGCCAAATCAACTACTACGTGCAGGAAGCAAAGTGCAAAGGGAAAGCCTGGGAGGGAGGCGGGAGGAGGGAAGGAAGCACCCTCACTCATTGGCAGAAGACTTGTGACAGATTTCACAACCCGTCGTGTTGATTGGAGGTGCACGACAAAAGATTGGTGGGGCCACGCTCCTTTGTGCACCACTGTGGCTACAGGCCTGACCAAATGTCATTATTTCTGTAAAGCTGTAGCTGTTGTTGGACTTTGAAGGGACGCACCAGATGCCACAGCCAGATCCATGCGTATTTATTCACAAGTCTACCTCATCAGGTGTAATGGAGGAATATGGGATGAATTTTTACAAAAACAGAGCGCATAGGAAAGGGGAAACTCAACCCTGCTCCCTCTCAGTGAGTACCAATGCCAGAAATAAGCTGGGCTGGTCGAAAAATACTTAAAACAGTTGAGCACAGCAAGAGTTTAGCTCCCGTCACCTGCGTGCTCCATTTTCTGTTACAAAGAGCTCTCACCCCGCCCCCCTGCTTAAATGAATAGGTGTGTGAACAGGCAGACGTGAATAAAAGCACATGGCTCCCCATTACTTCCACTTTGGCCATTAGCTACACCTAAAAGTGACCATTTTCATGGGGAATTTCAGATGGACTTCCAGCTTGCTAACTCCTTGACTCTTTGACGCTGAAGGGTGTCTGAATCCCTTTTGACAGGTGGCAAAATTACCTGAGCTTAATGAATCAGTTAACTTTAGGGATGGGGGATCTAAAGCGGATTTTGCCTGTGGATGGGAATCCTTTTTTGATTTCTGGGAGCAGGCGTTACAGTCAGAAGGGGGATGTGGCTCAGTGGCAGAGCATCTGCTTGGTGTGCAGAAGATCTCAGGTTCAATCCATGGCATCTCCAGTTTAAGCGAATCAGATGGTAGGTGATGTGAAAGACCTCTACTCTGAGATCTTGGGAGAGCGGCTGCCAGTCTGGATAGACAGGATTGACCTTAATGAACCAGGTGTCTGATTTATTTATTTTATTTATTTATTTAATTTTCGACTTCTATACCGCTCTGACCCCGAAGGGTCTCTGAGTGGTTTACACAACTGTTTATACCTAACTAGGGCCACATTATTTGTATGGGAGGTGATAACCTACCAGCACCCCGGTCGCGGGCTCAGTTGTTGTTCAGTTCCTGGCTCGGCTCGGCTGTTGTTCAGTCCCTGGCAGCTCTTCGGCACTTCACTTCCCGGCGCCCGGAACAGGTCTTAATCCACGGCTCCTTCCGGTAGGCTTCACCCGGTGCTCGGCAACGCGCCAGCCGCAGCTCTGGTTCCGTCCTGCAGGCTCCACTGCGCCGCATCGTCACGCCTCCGAGTGCCACGACTCCGCCTCTGTCCAGCCTCGCGCACGCTGGGTAGCCAGGGCCAACTCTGCTGGCGCCATTGCCGCCACTCCTGCCACACGTCCTCGTAAGGAGGAGGGGTGCCCCCTGCCACCTAGGGGCAGGTACCCATTTTATCTACTTGCGTTTAGTATAAAGTAGCTTCAAGTGTCATGAGTTGGACTTTGACTTTTTCAGTTGTCTTAAAAAGGTAAAGGTTTCCCTTGCTCGGAAGCTAGTCGAATCCAACTCTAGGGGGCGAGCACTGTCCGAAGAGGTTTCCGTGGTCATGTGGCTGGCATGACTAGACACCGAGGCTCACGGAATGCTGTTACCTTTCCACTGAAGCGGTACCTATTTACCTACTTGCAATTTCTTGCTTTTTAACTGCTAGGTTGGCAGGAGCTAGGTCGGGGAGATGGGAGCTCACTCCATCACGTGGCACTCGGGTCTCGAACTGCCGCTCCAGTGTCTTAACCTCTGAGCCACCGCGGCCCCCTTCAATTGTGTTATTTTATTGCAAAAAGTGATTGATAGTCTGAGGGATTCAGGTGGGGTAGCCATGTTGGTCTGAAGCAGCAGGACAAAGTTTCAGTCCAGCCAGACCCAACAAAGTTTCACTCAAGGTATACGCTTTCATGTGCGTGCACACTTCTTCAGATACAACGAAACAAAACATCCTCAACCCTTACATATAGGTGGGGGGGGGCGGTTAGTTGCCATGAAGGGCTAGTTAGAGGCAAGATGAATAAGTAACTGGGCAATTATAGCTGAGATTAGATTAAAGCAGTTGGTGAAATCTGTGAATAGCAGTAAATTAGCATACAAATATAAGATTTAGCAAACAAGTGTGGCTCAAACTCATCATATTTTCAAAGCTATAAAACCTACCTTGCTCAGCCTTTTTCCCCGTAAGGGCAGATGCTTCAACCTCCTAACAATTTTAGCTTCCCTTTTCAATATGTTCTTCATCTCTATTATATTCTGTTTATGATGGGGGCAACCAGAATTTACAGTACCTCCTAGATACATTCCACTACCTTTGTGTTGTGGAGTGGCAACTTTTTAATTTTCACTCCCTTTTCTGACAGTCCTCGCATTCGATTTACTTTTTTCATCATCACCGGGTACTGAGCTGACATTTGCGGTGCGCTTTTTATTATGAAGCCACGAGCTAGCTGGTTCCAGTCAAGTTATGCCCCATCAGCAGATACATGGTTGACATTTTTCTTTTGTCTCCGTATGCATCGCTTTGCACTTCCTGATCCTGAATCTGATTTGCCATTTGCTTACCCATTGACCTGGTTTGAAGCATTCCTTTTGGTGCTCTTCAGACTTCATTTGACATTTACTGTCCTGAATTACACAGAGCCATCAGCAAAGTTGGCTATATCACTGCTTACTCTTGTCTTCGGGTGACATACTGAAGTTAAGTAATACTAATTCCAATACAGGTTGAGACGAGAACTCGTCGTTTACTTCTGTATTCATCTATCACATTTTTATCCGCTATTCCTCTGAGGAACTTAGAGTGGTGCAGAGGTCATTTCGGGGGGGGGGGGGTCGCGGGGGATCGCAGTTCCCCCAGGTGAGGTACGGG